CGCAACAAACAATTCGTTCAATTGATTAAAACAGACTGGAGATATTTCTTTTAATTGATGGCCTAATTATTTATAAACTATTCTCTTTATATACACGTCATATATTCAAATTGCATAAAAATAATGTCGTATGAAGTATTTAAGAAAGAAACCGTGCGCTACATAAAATAATCGACCATAGAAAAGTTTAATTAACGAATAAGTATCATTGAAATTCAAAAAATCGTTCTTTCATAAATAATTCAAAAAAAAAATAACTTGAGAACTTTTATAAATAAGTTTTTTTTTTCCATTAAAAAAATCATCAGTTTTTATATCGCATTTCATAAGAGACTTCAAAAAAAAAAAAAGAAAAAAAAATAATATCTACCTCCATGAATTAATTCATAAGTGCATGTATCAGAACCAATACTATTATTAGCCGTTATATTAAATGAACGAAAATGCTCAAGTGATGTTGGTGTTATATCAAATGTATATTGCAAATTATTTTGATCTCCATTTGTTCGATGTATAATTGATGGTGATAAACCATTGATTGTATATTGTATATATGTTGGATTAGCACGTATAACTGTACAATTAATTGTACGTGTATGATTAATACCAGAATAAATTTTTTTAAATTTTTCAGTAACAGTTGGTCGAACTAAATATTTCAAAAAGCAAAATAAAAAAAAAAAAAACTTCAAATAAAAAAAAAAAATTTTACATTCAATATAAAGTTGTTTTGTTATTGATATAATAAGATTTTTATCAATTTGTTTCATATCAACACGACATGTTAAATTTCGTCCATTATCATATGATGTTAAACCAGGTATACGATAAGCTTCATAAACACTTGGTTTAAATTGATTATCAATAAATGTTGGTGGTTGTATACCACTAGCTAAAGCCATTATTGTTGGTGTTGTACCATTTTTATTTAATGATATATCAAGTGCTGGACGTGGATAACCATCAGCAGCACAAACAATATCTAATGGTTCACCTTCAATCATAACTAAACAATTTCTATTATCAATACCACATAAATCATTATTATGAATTCGAAATGATGCATGAAGATTACTTAAATATACATGTTGAACAGGAACTAGTTAAACAAAACAAAATAACAATATAATTTCATTTTTTCAATAAACTTAATCAAAATTTTCATTAATCATTGATATAGATGTCTGTTTCTTTTTTTCTTTTATTTTAATAACAATATACAAAAGTAGTTTATCTTGTTCTAATCATCTCTACCGTCTGAATACAATCGGTTGATTGAGAACAAATCGAGTGTCGAACAAGATATGCTTTGTTTTTATATATAAAAGAAGAAAAAAAGATATGTTATCAAATTTATGATGTAACAATATCAAATCAACACAATTACAATTTAACATTCTTTTTTTTTTTGTCTTCCTTTGATTTATTTGTAAAACTTACTATAAACTTGAAGTTTTTGCCATTCAATATCATCTTGTGGACATTTATATAATCCACTATCATCTTCATTAGCATTATTTATTCGTAGTAAACTTGTACGATATGGATTTGAATATCGATCATCTTTTGATGGTTCAATAATAAAACTTTTTTTTCCATCAAAACTTCGATATTCATAAGCATATATTAATGTTGAACGATTGTCACATAATTCAGCTACATCACCGCGTTTAACATAAGTTATTGTTTGTTGTCCAAATATAATTCTTATTATTATTGATAAGAAAAATAAAGAATAGAATAACATCAGATCATTATGCATAATTCATCTTAAATTAGAATAAAAAAAGAAAATGAAATCAAAATCTCTGTTTCAAGAAGTATAAATAAATCTATGATTAATATTCGTTTGTTCAACAGAAAAAAAAAAAAACAACAAAGAAAAAAGATCGAGGGATGTTTGTTCAAAGCAAGAAGAAAAAGAAAAAAAAAAGAGATTGATTATATATGAAAGATAGTCTACTATTATCATCGTCCTTTAAATACTAGAGGAAGTACTAGGTAATCATACTCCGTTATTATTGAAGAAAAGATGAAAATGAAACTAATTATCCAAAGCAAATCATCGAGTAACAACCTTGGAAATACGAGAATGAAAAAAAAAAAGAAACTGAATCAGCTCGTTCTTTTATATGATCTACGATGATCATTTTTTTTTATCGATTTGTATCTTGACCATGTAAGCAACACGCAAAAAAAGAAGAGAGAGAAAAGACCCGTTGGCTTAGAGACAACACTTAATGGCTCTCTTGCGCTCAACCACCAGTAATTGGTATCGACGATTACAAACCTTACGCGCGAGCGCAAGCGCGCTTAACATTATAATTTTACTGATGAGTCCCGTATGTTATTTGTTTGAAGGAACAGAGAAAGAATTACAGAAATAAGAAAATGATGATGACAAACTGTTGACCGTTCATATTGCACAATAGTGAACGTCACTGACATTACATACATGCAAGTTAAAAAAGAAAAAAAGAAAAAGTATTGTAATGATGATGACTGACACGATAACATGATTATGTGCGTGTATGAAAAGTGCCAAAAATGTTAATAACATCCGCGAGATGAAATAGATAACAACGAACAAGATTAAAAAACTATATAATGTATTTCGACAGTAAGAGAAGAGAAAAAATTTGAAAATTTTTTGTAAAAAAAATGAAAAAATTACGTTTTCTCACGTACCTGAAACTACTGGAAGAGACGCACATTTACCATAGCTGGCATACTCAAATCGTCAATTCATATCTCATATCTTATTTTTTGGGGTGCATCGTTTATTGACAAGAACGATAAAAGAATGTATAATAATATTGTAGATGATGTATATAAAGAATATCTGATCACAGTTCGTGCACACACATGCAATGAAGATCGGACAGTATTTTCTCAATGCTATTTATATTATTTTTCTCTCTCGCTGTCATTCTTTTCTCTAGTACTGTTATGAGATGCAAACGAGTATGCATGCATACGTCGGGTAAGATGTAGACGGCATGAACATTTCTTCTGCGATTTTTTCCTTTTCTATGCTCATTCTACTTGAAAAAAAAAGATGACCATCATCACCCTTACGAGGGTAAAAGAAGAGAACAAGCATTGAATGAATAGCGTTCTTTCTTCTGTCTCGATTTTTTTTGTCGTCTCTACATGTATATGCGTTTACTTCCATTCCTCATTGCAACGAAACCACATACACTCACACATAAAGAGAGAGAAAGAAAGACAAAAGAACAAGATGAAAAAAAAAAACGAGCACACACAGTTGATGGATGGATCTGGATAATGAAACAAGTCAACCTACTGATGTTGATACTGACCGGTTAAAATACGCCCCAGTTGTACTTAATACAAAGAGAAAAAAAAGAATACGCGCGTTATGAAAGTATAAAACGCAGTAAAAAAAAAAAGAGGAAGGAAGATGTATGTTCTTGTAACACGAGGCCAACTAATTCTCATTTTGACGAGTTCGTACTAGATTTGACACTATCATCTAATGTCCGTGTTCACGTTGCGCTACACTTCAATGTGCCCTTTTAGAGAGTTACTGACCTGGATGGAGAGAATATTGCGCTTTCAATTCAAGGTCTCAACCTTTTATTGAGATCTAACTTCACTTTTATTCTGTTGTTCAGTATTTAATCACATTTATATCGAATGAATAATGTTCATTGAATAGAATAGGATTAATGAAGTTCGACAAGATTCAGTTCAGAGCTCGAACTAATTCAAGAAGTCACTTACAAATAACTTGCAAGACTGATGTTTGCAAAATTGTATGTAAACGGACATAAATTGATGACAAGCTGTTGATGATAGTTAACGAAAAAAAAAAGAAACATCCGATTTGATTAGTTGTATGTCATCATCATCAGCGTCATCAATCGAAAAGCACATACTCACACTCACTCACACACATCTATTCTGAACTATTAACGTTTTTCTGGTTATGTTGCATAAGTTTATATGTGCATCGTATACAGACAATAAACGATCGAATTACACGCTCGACATACGTACTAAAAAAGGACACACGTAGAACGCCTGTGTCCAATCGATATCTTCCTATCAAGTAAAAGAAAAAAAAAGGAAGACAGAAACAATCAAGAATGACTTTAACATTTTTCTAATTATATCGTTCTTGTTCATATCAACATCCTTCATGAAATTTGTCTTTTTCTTCCGCTCATTTTACATACATAAAAATGTGACAATACAAGGTTTCATCTAAATGCGGAAGAATAATAAAAAAACGAAGAAATAAAACTGTTTTACTAGCCGTTTCTTTAAACACATATATGTATAAAATATGCATTTTGTTGAATTCTTATGTAAATTGATCTAGTCTTTAAATCAACAGTATCATATAGAACAAGGCAAAGGAGACGAAAGAATGAAAAAAAAAAAAAGAAAGAAAAGTTAAAAACCCAATCCATTATTCTTTTGTCTACAGATAAAATATCTATTCGATTGGTTTTAAATTGAGCCAATCAAGACATATCAATATTTCACTTTAATAATTCAATTTTAATTAAACTGCATTAACGATTAAATCTCTGTTTTTTTTTTCAATAGATTATCTTGTTTCAACTTAACAATCAAAGTCAAAGAACGTATGTCTTATGAATAAGTTAACAAATCTTGTTTCTTTTCCAGATCTATTGACTTTGTTAACTATAGATTTTCTTGAAATAATATTATTAGTTACAGTAATTAGGTCTCGTCATTAATTGTGTGTATTAAACCAACAAATCCAAGAACTTTTGTACAAAAAAAAAAAAAAATATTCCATTCAAGAAAAACAAAAGAAAAGAATAGAACAAATATTAAACAAGTGAATCACGCGTTTGTTTGATTGATAATGCCAATCATGTTTCATACTTGGTAAATATATATGATATGTCATTTTCGACATCGATCAATTTGATTGAATACTAAAAACTACTATTCATTTTTATTCCAGATGGATATTAAATATACGAATAATTATTGCCGTGATGAAACGCAGTGCTCACACGGTAAATTCTTCTTTAACCGAAACTACTAATAATCATTCCCCAAAACGTTCTTGTATTCAACGAAATAAACTTTATGTTGCCAGGTATATTCATATTTTAAATGTTTCTTAGTTGGTTTTCTTTTCTAATTAAGTAATACAACAAGTGCTTGTTCATCATCATCATCAAATGATATGTTAACTATGGAAGATCATATTCAATCATTAATATCTATGGGGTTCATTGATAGAGATATAAATCGTAAAGCATTAATTAAAGCTAATAATGATATAAGTGAAGCTGTAACTATTCTAACTAGTTCAAATTATTATGATGATGATATTCTTATACCAACTGAAACAATGGCATCAACTTTCATCGGTCCACTTACTAAAGAACAACTCGAACAACAACAGCAACAAACAGTAAGAAAAAAAAAAAAGAAATGTGACAAAGAAAAGGAAGATAAGAAAAGAAAAAAGAAAAAAAATAAAAAGGTTTTTTTTTTTTTTTTTGGAGTTGTTTTATATATTTTTGTCGTCTGACAAGTTATGGTGCGTTTGAGAAAAAAAATTTTCAATAAAATATTCAAAGCAAAACAAACGGTTATTATTTTAGAAATTAAAATTAAAATTTTTTGATTTATTTTATTTCATTATTTATTTATTTTTGTAAAGGTTCCTTCAAACAATAATAATAATAATTCAAATGGTTCACAGTCTGTAACATCGGATGAATATTCAATAAATAATTTTAATTCATTTACAACTAATGCTTTTCTTGATCTTGAAATAAAAGTTTATGGTGAGAATTGGTCAATACCTTATAAACGTACGTATGGTTTTATTTTGTTGTATAAGAACGAAAAATCATTTTATATGAATCACAGATGTTTACGATAAATCTTTTCATTGACTCAGAAAGTAAATTTTCACGTCATGAGCTGCCAACTTAATAGAACAAAATAAATTTCTATGTAATATATATTTTTTTTCTTTTCTATTAAATCAATAGGAAGCGTGTTTCTGTTGGTTAATAGTATGTTTTAGACATATGCAAATGTATAAATAATAGAAAAAAAAGAATTATATTTGTAAAATAGGGTGGCAACGACGATAGGTATTGAAAGTATACATATGTCTAAATGAATATACGAGTTATTGAATTAGAATATAATTTATACAATACAGTTGTTCTTAGAAAATGAAAGCGCTTTGCAATCTTTTATTTTGCCAGTGAAACAAAACACACACAGAACTCATAAAGATATATTTACTATACATTTGCAATCGATTTCATTAACAAGTGTCTTAATAAACTATGTTTGATGTGCAGAGGCATTCAGAACAGAAGAGTATATGTGATGCTTCCAATCGTAAAAAATTTCTGTTTTTCTCTAGCCAAGTTCCAACCTTTTATAGTTTTCTTGTGCTCATGAATTCCAGAAAAAAACGTTCATCTTCCTCTTCTCTCACTAAATCCGGTCAACTTTAGTAAAAATTTGCCAATCGAACTCCTGATCCACCAATCTACCTCCCTCTCAATCATGATGGCCTCGAAACTAGGGTCCATTGAGTACAAAAATTTTCGACCTAGGTCAAGTCGGATTGTAGTTTAATGCTTTCAATTAAGCGTTCTCATTGAAATAAGATAACTGCCAAAAAGATACGAGAAACTTTTTTTCTGTGTTTTATATTCGATGACTAGTATACTATACTCATTTCTGAGACCACTCGTTTAAGAAATGTGCAGAGTAGAACTCATCAAGTTCAAAGTTTACGAGACCGACCCAACAGGCTCTACTCGGGATACGCCTGTTGAAGTTCAACATTGTCAAGTATTCCAGTTTTATAAGTTCGTTGAATAATTTTTCATTAAAACACAATACAAATAGTATTAAGTAAACGAATTTGATACTTACCTGGATACAAAAGTGATTAAGAAAAATAATTTATTATTAGTTCAGCTATGTTATAGTACAGAAAAAGAGACTTTTTACTGTAAAGTCTTGTACGTAATTATTCATATCTTAATGATCTCGAGTTGCATAATTATAAATATAAGTTATACTTTTAAAAAATGAAGCTAATGTGAAAAGCTCTTCTCATTTTTTGTCGTGTACACTTATTCAAATAAATCCAAGAATAACATATGCTGTTTCTGAGAATTAGATTACTTTTTCAGAAAAAAAAAATGTTCTAAATAAAAATAGCAATCCTTGAACATACATAATTTGAATAAAGCTCGACTTTATTACTTTGAATACATTTAGGCCCTTCAGAGAGGATTATTTTTGACAAATCTGAAATCCTTTGCACAGTCTTTGGGATATTAGACAAACGTGAAAAAATTAATTAAGATATATCAGGAAGTCAACCCTAGAAATATTATGAAAATCCATCCCTTTTATGATTTCATCATATAAATATGAAATATATTGAGAGACAGAAAAATAACTTTTTCGCTTGACTCTTTGACTTTGCTTTTCACAATCATGGATTCACTCATCTTCTAAATTTGAATCCCTTTCCTCATCATTTGGTGACTATACAGTTGTTCCAGAACAAACTAAACTTTTACTACTACGAAAATAAAGCCTAATTGTCAACAAATGATATTTTTCTTGCATCAACTGATACAGAAAGGTAAGCAATCTCCGAAGAAACAATGTTTGAACTAAATCTGTGAGTCTAAACTTTGAAAAGAAACTTTTCAAAAAAAAACAGGAATCTATATGAGCAAGATGAATTACTAGAAAAATCAATTTTGTAGAATAGAGTTGTTGTAATTATGTGATCGTGCAATATAGATTAGCATGTACGTATGATAAAATTTTCACGTATATAGAATACGCTCTTTCCAAGAAATCGATGTTTTTCTGAATGAATTAACGTTGGTAGTCGATCGACGGGATCCTAGAAAACACATTCTTTTCTTTATTTGAAAAAGTTCTTACATGTCTAAAAGTTTCAAATCCTAGATAAAACGAGATTAACTAAGCTTGAAGTAGATTTACAAATGTCGATTGCGCAGCTTCCTAGTGATTCGGTAGTTTCTCTCGTGCAATGGCTTATAAGGAAAGAAAAGAAATAGATGGAGATAAGAACCAATACTAGCCTAGGATCGACATTCTCCAGTAAACCGATACAATATCATGAGAGACACTCATAAGTCAATTATAAGTTCATTCAGAACAATCACGTAAATATACATAAGAGGTTCAAGTCAATAAAAAAACCGATTAATTTTTTTTGTTAAGGTGAAGAAGCTCTTGGACAATGTCTTCTATCAGCAACACAACTTGCTCTTGCCGGTAAAATCACAAAATATGTCTCTTGGTCTTTTTTCGTTGATGTTCTATTTTATATGTTTAGGCACAGCTGATCAAGATAAAAATTGTGTAAAATTTATGGAAGATTTAATACCTGAAGCTTTTCGAAAAGTATAAGTATGATGTGATTATTTCATTAGTTTTACTCTTTTTTTATTATTCAGTTACAATGTTCTCATCCTGTGAATAATTGGGCATTTGAAATTCAATCAGGTGTATTCGAGATGGTTGAATTATTAATTGATTTAATTGCAGCACGTTTATCATATTCACCAGTACCTGTTAAATTACTTGAAACATTATCTATTGTATTTGATTATGATTCTGTTTTTCAACGAAAAAATAAAACAAAACCGTATGATCGTTCCTTATATGATAAACAATTAGATGATCGTATACTAGCTAATCCACCATCAACATCAACATTTTCTGTTTATAATCGAAATGAAACTTATGGTTGGTTATGTCAACTAATAAATCGTTTCGTATTAAAAGATGGTATTGTAAATTTAAAAGCACAATATCAAAATGAAAAACCATTAACAGCTCTTGTAAGAAATAGGAAAAAGACAACGAAGAATTTCTTTCTTTTTTTTCCTATTGGAAAGTATTTCATACGAATAAAAAGCTACAAGATTGTGACCAAACTTTAAATATGAACATAGAAATATTGTTCCTAGTTTTGTTCAAGAGTAGTGAGGAACTTTTTGACAGATCAAAAACTTTATTTTTAATGATGAGCCAATAGAATTTGTTTATCTTTCGAGACTCTTTTCGAACATAGGAAAACATTTCAATGGCAGTTGTTTTGTACAGCGACCATTTCTCTACATAATATTATATTAAACAAAACTGTAGCTTCTAGCCAATAACTTCTTTCCAAGAGCTCTTTTCAATGTAAAATGGTGGTCGATTTTTTTAAAACTGAGTATTTAAGAAAAAATAAAAATCTAGGTACATTGTCAAAGGACAAAACATAGTGCATTTAGTGTGATAGTTTCTCATCTAGAAGTAGATATATGAATAAAGATTACAAGTGGTAATTTTGAGTCGCAATAGTGAAAATACAAAAATTTTCCGTCCAAACGAATTTTTGACCTTCTCAAAGATTATTTTCATTATTCTCGTAAAAAAAAACAGGCAAAATCCTTACATTCATAATCAAAAACAGCACACAATTCAGGTCCTGTCGAGGAGCGTAGTCAAGAGTTTTCCAAGGATAGTGTCCGGCTTGTTATGAGATGAGGACGGCGCACAGCATGCTATGAGTCGGTTGCCGTTTTTGCAACCTGATTAGATCGGCGAATTTACATTTATGATTGTGTCGATAAAAACCTTTCCGAATATAAAACTTTGTCTGGAGCCGACTAGCCAGTCCGGCTTCAAGTATGGTGTACAGGCATTCTTTCTATCTCCTGGCTACGTTCCTGCTCCTAACTTCTAGCTTTTTTGTCGACCATCTATTATTTTTATCAATCAATTATTTTTAGGAATATAATGCTTTACTTTCACCATTTGTTAATTGTATGGATTATATACATATTGATAAATACCGACAATTATTTAGTGAACATATTGAACAAGCATTAGATTATATTAAAAATTTAAAAGAACAAGATTTCAAAGCTAAAGTTTGTTCTCAAGCGAGAAATAAAAAGAAAATATTGTTTTTTTTTTTATTTTGTAAATTTTAGTCAACAAATACAATATTTGAATTATTATCAACATTACGTAAAATATGTTCAGCTGTATGGCCTAATCGTATTGAACAAATAGAACAATTACATCTTAATTTATTACTTAGAATGATTGCGTTATCGAATTTTAATGCTAAAATGAATTCATTAAAAGAAGTAATAAATTAAATAAAGCATACTCAATTAAACAAAAGCTATATACATATATTTATTTTAGCTAGCAAAAATAATTGAAAATGCAATATCGAATATTCCGAGTTTGACTAAAGCATCTATTCGACGTGATGTTATTAGTGAATGGATTATTGAAAATTCTATACTTTCCAAAGCACTTGAAGGTAAAATAAAAAACGAAATAACTATATTGAGTTTTATTTATTTTATTTTATTTTTAATATTCAAAGGAAATATTGATCAAAATCAATATGTTGAAAAAGTTCGAACATTAATGGATTTTATTGCACCAAAAATTTCAAAAGAAGATATTCAAACTATATGGAAAATGCAGGTATTTGAAAAACTATTGATATTATGATTCGAAGAATATAGTTAGTTATTACGAATATTTTATTTCTACCTTCTCAAACATTCCATTCTAATTTCAATGATTTCTTTGGCTATGAATACGACATGGTATTCTACTAAAAACTCTACAAGGCTTTGTTTTCTTAATCTGATAGAGATCTTTAAAAGATAAACATATTAAAAATGCAATAATTTTGCTAAATCTCAATAGGAACTCAAATTCTTTTAAGATTCTTACTAGAACACTCTGCAGTATTTATATACAAAAAGAATCATTGAACTCAGAAGAAGATATTTGAAGAGATGTGTTCGTAAGCATTAGCGCTTATAAGAAGAATAGAACGATGAAAGTCTACTTGTCTTTTATGAGAAATAGAATAACGAAGGGCAGTGAACACAAAACTATTACTTGAGATTTCTCGACGACGTAAGTAGAGATTGAGAACTCTTACAAGAACATACATTAAAAAAAACTGTTCATTGATGCATCGTGTACCGCAACATTGAAGATAATCTTCCATTAGTCTTAGATAAAAGTTTGGTGATTCATTCTTTTGTTCATTTATTTTCGTCTCAGAGTTTTCAATTACAACACACGATTAAGTGTATTTGTTTTTCGAAATTCCTTCAATGTTTTTTGTGTATTTTCTTTTGAATTAATATCGTTATCAATAAATTTTGATCTTAGTTCAATAATTAATTCCTTTTTTTTTTGTTTTGTCATCTAAGCTTGTGTTGTGCTCTTATTATTTTCTTCATACGTACAATAGTGGCTTAATAGATTAAATCTACTTAGCCTTAGTATGCATCAGATTTATAATAGACAGTAAAATGAGGTCAAAAAAACATTGCATGTGTCTTCAAATTACAGAGATTAAAACAGTAAAAGGGACTACAGAAAAGTATTCACTGTTAGGAATAAGAAAGTCGTCATACTAGTATGAAATATTTCGAACAAAACGGGTTCTTTTGAATTCGAAATCATTCATAATTTGGAGGTGTTTGTTGGTACAGGTTTTACTGTATATATACTTTTTTTTTGTTATGTAGATAGATTTTTATATGAACGTGAATATTTTAAATTATTAGATAATCAAAAGTGAATGACTATTTTGCATAATCAATAAAAGTATCATAAATAAATAGTTTGAAATTTTTAATATATTCATTAGACTAAAAATAACATTTTGATTAATTTAAAATTCCTCATGAACAAGATCTAGCATATCCAGAATTAAGAACTAAATCAATTAGATTTGTTGTTCTAGTTTTATTGATATTAACATTTCTCATTAAAATTCGAAAACAATTTTAGATAATCAATCTCTTTTTGTATTTTAGCATGGACGTTCATTAGTTGCTGTTGATCATTTATTTACTTTAATAGCATCAGCAGCTGCAAAATTTAATTTACAACAACTGAATTATCTTATTGAATTTATTTGTAATGTAAGTTAAATTCCTTTTGTGTTTTTCTTTATTGTTTTATTTCAATATATATGTTTTTTGTTTATTTATTTATTTATTTATTATTAAAAGTCTTGGAAAACAGAAACAATTCTTATACAAGAAAAACTTATTGAATTACTTGGCACTATTGGACGAGAATGTCAAAAAGATTCTGCTGTTCGTGTTTTAGAAATTCTTTGGGATATGGCACATTCAAATCGTCTTAGTCGATCAATGCTTGATCATATACTTTATTATCATTTACGTATATTTCGTGAAGGTCGTTCACCATATGATACACTTAAACGTGATTATTGTCTTAAATGTATGTCAGATTTACAACGTAAACAAGGTTGGCTTGTACCAGCTATAAAACATTTATATGATTTATTACATCATGATTCAACCAATACATTTAAACGTACAGATGAAGATCTTATATCATTATTAGTTCATAAACATGATTTAATATCAGCATTAATACAAAGTTTATCAACATGTCAATTAGATGTTTGGAATAAAACACATGGACATGTTACAATTGATACATTAGTCGATGGTCGTTTTACACATGAAGAATCAATTAAAAATCATTTAGATTTATTATCATTTTTATTAAAAAAAGGAAATCTTTATTTAATATTAAAACGTAGTGAAGAATTATGGGATACATTAATAGCAAATGAACATGTGAGTTCATTTGATCATGAACTTGGTTTAAATTGGTTTATAACATGTTCAGAAGACCTTAATCGAGAATCTCAAATAGCATTATTTGAAAAACGTGTATCAAAATTAAATCCAATAAATTTAACATCTAAAGGTTAAAAAATTAAATTTATCAAATTATAATAAAAGATAAGAAAACAACAATTCTTTTTTTTTTTATCGAAAAAATTTTAGGTTATACATGTTTTAAATTATACTTTGAACGATGTAATTCAGAACGATCCAGTCAATCGAGAAATTATATGTCAAATTCAAATGTATCTACATCAGCTTATGTAAGTTAATAGCAATTAAACTAGAGTACGAAAGTCTTGGCACAAAAATATTCGTTCATTTCTCAGACGATCAAAACACAATATTAGTACATATTGTGGAAAAATTCCGAACTTTGTCTGTACAAAGCAAAATAACTGTTTTGATGTAGCCTATCATATGTGTCTTGGAACTGCTCTCACTGAACATCGTTGTGGAGCACTGAGTTATGTAAAAAAAATGAGATATTATAATAAACAAAACCTAGTTTCTATGGATATTGACATTGATAAAAAACTCACTATTTGAAGAACAAGTTTATTACGAAAGATAAAACAGAAAAGTAAATAGGACACTTAGTAGAGAAAAATTTGCTCTACAAAACTGGGTCATACATTAAAACAAAATGTGTTACACGTGTCACACTTTGCGACCTGAGGTGCTTGTTGTGATACATTTCGGAGATGCGATTTGAATCTAGCTTCGAATGTATTTCTCATTTTTTCTGCGAAAGCAAATAACTACTGTCCTTTTTTTTTTATCATTGATTAGTCTCAACATGTTGTCAATTAAAAACTAATTCAGAGAGAACCTAGAAAAAACAACAAACAAAAATATATCTATTCAGTATGTTTAATGAAATCGCTCATTTGTAACTGTATACACCTAGCACAACAATGAATAAATAGTTAACAGACAGATTGTGACATATTTATGTAGAAGAACATAGCCCATCGAATTGGTCACGGATTCAATTCAGTCGAATCTGAGTCTGACAATTTTGAACCCGACTGTTTCTAAAGTACTGTTTGCGACATATTGTATTTTAGTATGAATTACAAAACTATTTCGCATTTTGAAATTGAAAAATTTCAAATCGAAATACAAAATTGACTAAAATAGTAGGTTTTACAGTCACAAGTTTCGATCTATTGAAAAAAAAAACTTGATGTTAATTGTCCAATCTTATCTTAGAACAAAAGTCTGAACACCTATTCCAAGAGAGCGAAGATTTTGTGTCAAGACTTTCATGCTATATGTTATATCAAATAATTATTTTTTCCCTGTGTTGCTTGATTGCAACTGTGATATCAATGTTTAACACTCGAATGACGAATGGTACAGTTATTACAGAAAGAGCAAAAAATAAATAAATTCAAGCTATCTTGCAAATATAAAATATCTTTCTTTTTTTAAATAGAATGAAGTGTTAGAATATCGTGGTGTAGATGAATTATGGAACATAATCTTATGTGTTGGTAATGATGAAATAGCTAATGATGCAACACGTTTCTTACTTGATTTATATTATTTAAAACAACCCAATCGTACACGTCGTTTAACACCACAATTACTACATGAACATTTTCTTAAAGAAGCTTATAAACGTTTAAGTTATTTACTTACTACAGCTATACCATCATCAACATCATTAATAAAAGACATTGAAGAATTTTATAAATCTTTAAAAACCTATGGTGAACAATTGATAACAACAACAATAACATGTCATCCATCAACATCAATTGAAACTAATCATATATTATGGTTACAAAAAATAGAACGTCTTTTAATGATAATAGAAGAATATATTTATATGGTTGAACATGAACGTTCACCAACAGCACATATAACATCATTTCATGGTTTAGAATATCAAATAAAAATAGTTCTTGGTGAAATAGGTAAAGCAAATTGTTCATATGATATTGTCACTGTTCATTCAAATGATACACTTGAAATGTTACGTATATGTCTTGGAAAATTTTATAAAGTACCATCATATGATATAAATATATCAATACCAAATATTTGTCGATTACCAGAATCATATGATCATTTAGGCATAAATAATAATAATAATTTTACTGTTGTTCCATTATCATCTTCATCTAATAATCAATCAAATCATAATGTTCTTAGTTCATCATTAAATTCAAAATATCTATATCAACTTCATATAACACCTGGCACGACAATCTATATAAAAATTTTAGGTAGTACATATAATCAATCAATAAAATCCATTAATAGTGAACCAATACGTATTAAATTAAATAATTCATCTATGTTAATAACAACATCTAATAATAACAATATGAATACAAATGATAATATAACACGTTCAACACCATCAAATATGATGGCAGAAAATTCAAAAATCTATGATATACTTTATAAATTATCATATTTAAATAATAATAATATTCATAAACGTATAAGAAATCTTCTTTATTTAATGCCATCGGATATTCGTATACATGATTATCTTGATCTAATATCAATACGAGCAGCAAACATATGTACAATTGAACGACGACAATCAACAGAAAATTGTAATAATAATAGCAATAATCAAATCAATTCTCAACAAGCTATTGATTATGTATTTGATATAAATCAATCTAGTCCTGTACAATTATTATATAATCTTGAAATTTTATCAAGTAAAATATTACCTCTATCAACAAACAATGGTATACAACAAAGTTCAAAATTATTTCGACAAGATTTTATTGAACAATCAGGTATTCGATTTTTATTTCAATTACTTAATTCATTAAATAATTTAATTTATGATGAATATCAATATTCCTTATGTCAAGAAATGACAAGACGTATTTTACAACTTATACAATTATTTGTTTGTGGTAGTAAACAACAAGATGATATTATTTCACCATCATCATCACCATTATTACAAATATCACAATTAACTGATGATAGTATTAGTGATGTAAATGAGGGTGATTTTCAAGCAACTATTGAACATTTACAATTTGAAGAATTTGTTGAACAAATAAAACAATTAATATTTTTATGTTGGGCAGCTGCAGCTGGAAATATTAAATTACATAAACAAAATTTAACTATAAAAGAACAAGTCAAATTAGATCGTTATGCATTATTACAACAAATAAATGCAAATGTTTTTAGTCGTAATAGTAGTAAAAGTTCTTTATCAAATGAATTATCAATAAATAATGATTTACAAAAAACAGTACAATTTGGTATATGTGTAAAAAAAGATTCAATTTCATCATTGGATAGTGAAATAGCAGAGAAAATTATTGAAATTATTATATTTTGCTTTGAAAAAAGACCAGAATTTATTGGTAAGTGTGATTATTTCAATTATAGAATTATTCATTTGGTATTTGGAATTTTAAACTATTCAATGCTTTTTTAAAACCTAAAGTCAACTTTGAATAAAATAACCTCTGAGAAATCGAATTAAAATATCATGTGAAGTATATTGCGATCTAAACATTGATCTTACGAATTGGCATACATCGAGTTCGAATTTGGAAATCACTAAGAATCATCAAAAGTTCACAGATAGTTCTAGTTGTGACTAGAATTCTCTGAACGATTTCGGTTCTAATAAATGCTTCATTCGCGAGATATTGACCATTCATATCTCACCAAAGGTTGCAGAATCTTAGATTCTTGAAATACCCCCATTCGATTGATTGGTACTCATCGTACATTAGCCTAAAACTCTAGGAAAATAGCTGTAATCCTGAAAAGAAACCGCATATAAGGGCACTCATCCTTCTCAGATTTTCTATATCCCACTAGAGACTACCATATGCATATCGATCATGTGTAGATAAATTTAGAAAATTTTTCTATGACAATTTTTTGTTTATATTTCATTCAGAATCGCTTGTTTTTTGTTTCTTTCATAGCTACTTTTCTTGTTCAACCATTTTTTGCTGATTTTCTTTTGGAAATATTAATTGGTACAACATCTCGTGAAATTCGTCAATGTGCATTACGTAATGTAATTCATTTATGTAAAATTGAAACATCGACATGTGATATACGTTTAATAATTCATCAGATATTAATAAAAGCTCGTTTACCATTATGGCCATCATCATGTGCTGGTACGCGTAATTCAAATCAAAAATTACTTGCACAATCAACTGAATATTTTGATTTACGTTGTCAATTAATGGAAAATTTAACAAAAGAAAACCAAAATATACTTGGTATTGATGCTAAAAAATTATTATCAGATGAATTAATATGGTTATCAACGTATACTGTATCATTAACATCAAATGACTTACGTACAATTGATAATATATTATTTATGGGTCATTTAAAATTTATTCGTACATTATTAACATGTGAAAATATAGATAAAAATAAAATTGGAACTAAATTTATTCGTTTACTTATTGATCAATTTTTATTTCCAGCATCAAAACATATGTCATTATCAATTGTATCAAGAAATAATGAAAATGATTTAAATGATGATTCTATATTTGAACCAAAATGTTCAACAAGTGAAAGTCGTCTTGCAGCATATGATGTACTTGTAGAATTAGTTCGAAATTGTCAAACAAATTTAAAAATTGTTGTCGATGATCTTATTAATCTTCATCATAGACCTATACTTGAAAAACAAAGTGAATGGGAAGTAAGTTTTTCGTAATTATTATAATATTTTTCAAAAATAAATTCATATTAATGAATTATGTATATTCTAGTTTATGCCACAAGTTAATCCTCGTGCATCATGTGGATTTGTTGGTCTTTTTAATGGTATATTTAGTTTTTAATTTGTTACAGAAAAATAAGCTACATTTGAAATTACACTAGGACACTCAGAGAAATTTATTTAGTTGATGAGAATTTTGTTTTAGTCAAAGGATGGAAATAATCTCAAAGGTTTAATTCTCACAGTCTTTGTACAGTAATGATAGACCAATATCAGATGTTTAAAATGAAATGTTTGAATTTGAAATCTTTCAAAAGTTTTTGTAAGTTTTCTTTGAGCTTGGCATCATTGATGTAATAAACAGGAGACTGAAATTTAACTTATTAATTATCATAAAGTGCGTTAGTTCTGTAAATAGTTGGTACACTCTTTAATATTTACTAGTATATACTTTCATTAAAACGTAGAGCTCACCATCATATAGTCCTGCTGAACACTAAGGAATGTATTAAATATTCATAAAAATAAAGCTTTGCATGAAGACTCATACAGTAAACTTAGTCTCGGAGCGAAATTCCTATAACCTAAATAAACAATTAAGAATAGAGACTAAATATTGTCTTCTTTTTAAAAAGATTTCGATTTAAATTCTCTTCGGAAAAACTTCAAAACAACGTAGAACAGAATCTAAACAGTCTAAAATCTATCTACATTTATTCGAAACTAAAAAGCTTCTAGCAGAAGTTCTGTAGGATTAAAATATGAAAATCGATGTAACTGATGTTGCCATCATAGGACGATTATTTTATTCTATATGTTTTGGGACACATTTATTCAGTATTTTCTATGGATATAAACCTCTACCATATATACTTCAATATCTCATTTAGATCATTATGTATTCAAATAATAATAAATTTTCAGAAATAAGAAATAGAGCTTGTAGGATTCAAAGTTTTCGGGTACTAGATCTACATCCGATGTATCGAAAGTTTTCAAAACCCTATCAAACGTTACGTTGATACTCTCGATGAAATTTTCTAATTCATTGGATCGAAAATCCTCGGATTCGAAACTAACTCGATGGATTCTAATCATTCATGCTCGTCTAACTTTATACTTTTTAATGGCCACTGGACGATGCTCTCTAATTCAGCTTGTCTCACCATATTTATTTCTATCGTTTATATTTCACAGACATGAACGCTTTTCTTTGGTTTAGGTGGTGCTACTTGTTACATGAATTCTATTCTTCAACAATTATATATGCTACCTCAAATATCAGAACATATATTAAGTGTATTGGATGATGGTGAACATATAAATGGAGTAAATAAAACTAGTGATTCAAGTTTATTTTATCAAGTTCAACAAGTTTTTGGCCATCTAATGGAAAGTAAAATGCAATATTATTCACCTGAATCATTATGGAAAGTATTTCGTTTATGGGGACAAGAAATAAATGTACGTGAACAACAAGATGCATTTGATTTTTTTACAGCAATGACTGATCAAATTGATGAATATTTAAAAAATATAAAACAAGAAGAAATATTTCATAAACAATTTGAAGGAATTTTTTGTAATCAAATGATATGTACAAATGGTTGTAATCATCGTTATGAAGGTGAAGAAAAATTTATGGCATTAAATGTTGCTGTTAAAGTTGATTCACTTAATGAATCATTAAATCAATTTGTTAAAGGTGAATTACTTGATGGAAATAATGCTGTAAGTTAAAAATTTCTTTTCTTTATGAATATTAGAACAAGAAAATCTATTTATTTTTTGTTTTCAAATAGTATTTTTGTGCTAAATGTCAAGAAAAACGAACAACAATTAAACGATTATGTATTAAAAAATTACCACCATTATTATGTATACAAATGAAACGCTTTGGTTTTGATTGGGAAAATAATCGTGCATTAAAATTTGATGATTATTTTAAATTTCCATTCATACTCAATATGGAACCATATACATTAGAAGGTGTTAATAAACGTGAAAGTTTTATTGAACATGATGATTTAGTTACTAATACAAATGGATGTAATTCATCATCAACAACAATAGGTAACTCATATTTATGTTTACTGTCCATCTACTTATGAAGCAAGATTCTTTTTTTTTTGGCAGTTTGCTTGATATATAAATCTTAAATATTCATCTAGTATATGATTAATAATTTCGTCTAAGAATTAGTAAATAAAAACATAACAGAAGATTGAAATATCGAAAGTCATATTTTTTGTTCAGCTTTTTTCCCATTTGTCCTTATCAATTAAAAAAACATTAATCAAATATTATTAGTATCTTATATACAATAAAAAGTTTTAAGAAAAAGAAGTATATAATTTTTATTTGAAAACATCATTATTGTTCATATGACTATCACTTTAGAAAAAAAAAAAGAAACAAAACACGATATTGGCTTCTCAAGTCATATTTTGACTTGGAAATTTTACTTGACTTATGACTTAGTCGTGTATAAAAAAAAACCAAATCATGTTTAAAAACACATATATATTAGTGTTTTATTTACTTCAATATTGGTAAAAAATAGAAATGAAAAACAGAAAATATTGTCATAGACTGAATTTACGTTGCAATAAAATAAAAGCTTGCGGACAGGGATGTACTGAGACTGAAGACTTCCTAACTAAGATCGAAATTTTCTTCGGCAAAAATCTCGAGCCTCTACGAGATTTTTTTTGAGAATTGCTTAGCTTAATTTCATCTTGCAGGAAATACAATTGGATAGACGAGTCATAAAAGTAAAAGGCCAAGTCTCAGTCAAAATTTTGCTTTGTTCATTTATTCGACCGAGATTGGTCGAGACTTGGCCTTTTACTTTCATGGTCCATCTATTCGGTTGTATTTCCTGCAAGATGAAATCAAGCTAAGTCATTCTCAATAAAAATCTCGTCGAGGCTCAGGAGTTTTGCCGCAGAAAATTTCGATCTTGGTACATCCCTAGTTATGGAATATGTGAAAAATCTTTTTTCTTACTTCTTATTATTCGTAGCTAAGGATAATTAAACTTTCATACAGATAAAAAAGACACAGTTAATCTTCAATATTAAAACAAAACTTGATGAAAATTCAGTTAAAATTTGATTTACTCATCTTTAAAACGAAGAACTCTTCTAACTTCAAAATATTATCTAAAAATAAATGTTAAGAAAATTATCTCTATCATCGAATTTTCTTTGCTAATGTTACTAAAAATAGAGTGACATAAAGTACGAACTATAATACGTCAGTGACATTGAATAAATTGTTATTATCAAATTTTCTTTTGTATAGAGGTGAAAAACATATCTTTCTGAATATATTTCATCTTTTAGGTAATAATAAATCAATATCACGTACAACTTCATCTTTAAGTAATCCTTCTAATACAATGCCAACTATAAATTATGAATTAGTTGGTATTGTTATTCATTCTGGACAAGCAAATGCCGGTCATTATTATTCATTTATAAAAGATACACGATGTCGTTATTCAAATAATACAAATCAATGGTATCGTTTTAATGATACAACAGTTGAAGAAATTCAATTAACTGAACAAATGCTTGAAGAAGAATGTTTTGGTGGAACATTTCGTGTTCAAAAAGATAATAATAATAATACAAATGATGAACGTACACGTTTTTGGAGTGCATATATGCTTATATATCAATGTATTGAACCATTAAAATTACTTCCACCACCACCATCAATACCTTCATCACCAAATACAAATCGTTTAACAACACGTAATACACGTTTAAATCATTCAAATCAACGTGATTCATTATCACAATTAGCAGATTTAGTTGTTCAAAGTGAACATAATGATTTATTTAAAATAAAAAAACCATTAATATCATCACGTGTTCTTAATTGTGTTAAAGATGAAAATTTAGAATTTTTAAAAAATCGTGATACTTATTGTGATGATTATTTTCAATTTATATATAAATTATCAAGTGTATGTTTAGATGAAAATATACAATTGAATAATATTGAATCTAATAATAATAATAATAATAATTCATTATCATATGATCTATGTACAAAATTAGCATTAAAATTTTTATTTAATACATATTTACGAACACATCGTCGTTTACGTAAAGATAATTTACAACAATGGATTGAATTATTAAAAAATTTATTTTCAAAAAATTCTTTATCATGTGATATTTTTTATCAATTATTATTTGAAAAAAATGATGATATTTTAAAATTATATTTACTTGATTGTCCTATGGATGATATAAGACAAATATTTAAACAAATATGTGAACATGTTTTACAATCAAGTTATATACATAATATTGAAAACTATATTGAATTATTTATTGAACAATTAATTATTTTATTAGATAAATCTGTTGTTGAACAAGTTAAACATTCACATGTTTATTTTCAATTAATTTATACATATGCAAATATGAATAATATATCTATTGAATATCTATTAAAATTAAATACATTTATACGTTTAATAAATTTTTTATTATGTGAAAATATTGATAATAGAAGATGGCATTGTGAACAAGCAAAAGAATTTGGTATTATACATGAAATTCTATCAATTTTAGCTTTATTTTGTTATTCAATTGATGAAAATAATCATAAAAAATATATTGCAATAATTAAACAAATGAATATGTATTATTTTGGACAATGGTCAAATAGATATTTAAAAGAAATATGTTATGCTTTTCAAGAAGTATCATCAACAAAATTAATATATACTTTACAATTAATAGAAATCTTAGCAAAAAATAATGAAAAATTTTCTGAACAATTTATTCGTATTATTTTACAATCAATTGTACAAGCTCATACAAATGATTTAAAATCATTATTTAAATTATTAAGTAGTATATTAGTAAGTCAATTAAGAATTTTCATTTTTTATTTATTATTAAATGAATATGTAACGAGAAAAGATCTCTAAATCTCTAAGTTTCTGTTTTTAATCAATTTTCTGCCGTTATATAAAGTTGAATGAGCTGTTTCACAATGGCATAATGCGTTCTTAACCATACATAGTAGATCCGTTGGGTTCAACATATTCGGATCGAATTTGGAACCGACTCGATGGGTTCTATCCCATAGCCTGGATGTAGAATAGTATTAGAATCTGACTTCATAGCATCATTAGAATAAAATATTATAAAAGGAAAATATATAATATTAGTTTCTGTTCAGAGAAAACTTCATGGGTCAATCGAATTTTGACACCGTACCAAAGATTGTTCGTATGATCATGAAACAGATTTTAGATGTGTTGAAATGATAGTATTTAAATTCAATTTGTATTTAAATATTCTTTTTTTTAAAAGATATCTGTAGAGAGGAGTGCTTCGAATTTTGGTATTAGGTTGGATCCATATACCATTTGATACTGTTAATTTTCAAAGTCGTCTTTAAAAATACTTTGTCGTTGCCATATTATCACTAAGATGTATTTGAACATGATTTTTGTCTTTAATACATCTAGTTATCTCTATTGCTACAAGTTATTTCACTCTAACTGTTTATATTGTACTTAAAAAATAGTATTAAAGTACTCTTATGAATTATCTAGGGAATATAGTTTAACTCTATGGTACTGATGATTATAAATAACCTTTCTGTATAATGTGTAATTATTTTATATAAGAATCTTTAAATAGTCAATTATATTGCAAGTTAATTATCTTGATAAAAAAGATAAATAAGTAATATATACATTCTACCGCTACTTTTCGAAGGTTGTGTTATTGACGCTCGTGTTCATATTTATAGTAATGTGAAAATAACTTTTCTTTTTTTGTCTTGGGTAAGTGACTCTTGATAAGAACTTCTATTTTTTTGAACAATATAGAAATACGAGAGGCATTCTTCAAAAACAAAACTAAGACATTATTACAATTATTAAGAAACGTATGGAGGAATATATAAGAATTATGAAGGTAAGTTATTAAACAGAAGTCGCCCTGTACTCATCAATATCGTTTTTTGATTAAAACTCAATCATCTGTTTGATAAATAACGAAGAAAATTTTTATTAAATTTGAACGAGTCTCATCATGTAACGAAAGTTATGCTGCTGAAGATTAACAAATCTAATATCATAACGTTTATTTTCTCTGAATACATGTAAATTAATTTTTTGAAGACAAAAATATTTTCCTAAACTTTAACTTTTCTTCTAATACAACCTCCAAGTTCATATTGATCAAGCTTAAAATAATAGTAAAACTTTAATTCATCAGTTTTATTCCACTGAACAAGGTTTATGTCAAAAAGTAGGAAGAGTAGTTTCGTCAATATATGAAAAGTATCATTTATTTTTGATCAATAATTTCTTTAATTCACATACAAATCGTCTCTTAATCATACTAGATATGTAATATCTATTGAAATTGATTCAAAATCAAAATTCTATTATTTATTCTAGTTAATTGAAGATTCATTACAAACAAAACGTCTTCAATTAGCATTTGAAGGTATAAATGAATCTTCTAGTACGGATAATAATCAAAATTTTAATGGACTTTATTCACTTATTCGAACCAGTATTGATACAGAACAACGACGAGCTTATCAAACAGTCAAATATCTTATAACTCTATCGAATCAGTACGTTCAGAAACTCATGTCTTTTTTTTTTATAAATTATTATTTGATATTAGATTTAAAAACAAAATATAAGAAATTCTTTGCTTTTCTTTGTAGAAGTAATGCTTGTAAAGATTATTTTTCTTCAACTGCTATTCAATGGGAAGCAGCTATTAATTGGTTAAAACAACAAATGCAAACATCATGGCAATGGTCACCAGCACATAATATATCTAATGAAGACACTGATATACGTTCATTTCAACGTACACGTAGTGCACAATATACTTTAGAACAAGCTCAATCTCTTCTTCAACAAACAACAATATTAAATAAAAATATTCATAATAATACATCGACAAATGAAATTATAGAATTCAACGATATTAATAATTATTCATCATCATCATCACAATCAACATTGGTTGGAGCGGATTAATTCATTCATATCCATATGTAAAAATAAAAAAAGATAGATACAAAAAAAAACTCCGGTGTATCTGTGTGTGAGCATGACTAGTAATAAGATCAATTTTTTTATGTGTTATTGACATAATGCTTCTTTTTTTGGTTCATGTTTTTTTTTCTTTTGATCGACTGAGAACAGTCGGTACTTTGATACTTGATTTTTTTCTACTACTTTTTTTCGTGCCTAAATTACATTTGGTACTAAAGAGAAAAATAATACTAAAGTGAAGTGCGCATCTGTGCTACGCGTATTACTAAAAGATATATATATATATACATGTATGTAACTTTTTTTGTCTAAAAGAAATAAAAAGGAAAAAGTAAGTTTGTATAAAGAGAAAAAACAAACAAACAAGTTTTAAATTTCATATTCTAGGTTTTTAGACATGACTCAGCAAGCACAAAATATTCTTTTATGATTGTTGTATAATGAACTAATCATATTGGCTTTTTGTGAAACATGATCTAAAAGAAGTATTGAAATAGATAAGGTAGAAATTTATATCTACTATTCTCCACAGATCGTGACAGACGCCTTCACAGCGGTGTGCACAATTTTAGTCCAATAATTATTTGGAAAAAGAAAAATGAACGAATGAATAATATGAGTGTCATTAAGGCGAAGATTCACATCCAAACTACTCATTTCCTCATTTCTCTACTTCGAAATAAGCAACGGAAAATAAAACCTCACGCCAGAAAAGCGACAGTTGGAATATGTTTTTTTTTATTAGATTGACAACCAAGAAAGCTTGTAAACCTTTAGTAACGATCTCCTCTCTTCTTTACAGACGTTGTGGATGTACGGTCTTTAATCGTATGTCAATAACATCTTGTTATAATACATGAAGTACTTCACTATTCTAGTTCTGAAGGATTACGTAGAAGTATGATATATCCCAAAAAAGTTAGAATAGAACAAACTCCTTGTGATTAGCAATAATAGCTATATTGTGTTTCACATGTTAATCCCACAGGGATTTCATGAACATCTTTTTGTTCTGTATAAAACATATTAGAAGTAGACATCAATCAGAGATGAGAATAGATCAAGTTTTTGAAAAACTGATAATTTAGCCAACTGTAAATTGAACTTGTTAATAATATGTTTATTTGAATAGAATGAAAATTGGCTATCGATCTCCAATGAATTCTTATTTTCAATAAATGAACAAGTCGTCTATTGTGTAAAAAATAGACTTACAAAGCTTTACATTTGCAAAAAAGAAAAATCATTAATCAAAAAAAAGAAAGAGAAAACAAGAAAGAAAATAGAAATATGTTTAATATAAATTACTTTCTTAAGAAGACAATAGAAACATGAATGACAAACAGAATAAATGGAAAAATAAGACAAAGAAATAGATATTATTAATCATATGAATATTAATTATATATTAAACTCATTAACAAGTATTTTAAGATCTATATGTAAATTTTACATGTTTATAGAGCTAGAAGATAAAATTTGAAAGATTTTAACTAATGAACTTTTTTGTCGAATACAAAAGTACATTGCCTGAGAAATTAATAATTAAGATGATCTTTGATATCAATAGGTTTAGCTGTAATGCACAAAAAACTCAAAACTGCTCATGTCCAGATTAAACTGAATCGATTGATTTAACAATAATTTTTTCCGGGACAAATTTCATATTATTTTCAAAGATTCTTCATTTTGTTCAGGTTGATTATATTAGTGCAATACGCAAGCATATATAACTGTGTCCTTGAGAATGCATCTGCACTTATTGTTCTTTATTATTTTCAAGATGAATCAATATGTAGTCATACAGATAATTATTTTTTGTTTTCCTAAGACAATATCCGATTTATTGCAATTTAATCATAGTTATATTTTTATGCTTTCATATACGTGTATGAAAAAGACAAAAAACGAAATAAATTCAGTTATATATTTATATCATAGCATATTAAATGTCCAAGGCCATAAAATGAAACTCTCTGAACGCCTATTCTCTTGAGATTTCTTTTATTTCTGTAAAAATTTCTACTTATATAGAGCTATTCTTGTGATTATTGTTAAATTTAAACAGTTTTATCAATTGAAAAATAATATCACATTTTTCTATTCATTTTCTATTGTTCAAAACGGATGATATAAAAAAACTGATAATGATATGATTATTAAAAGTTTGCTATAAGTCTAAATCTTCACAAATATTACATGTTTAAATTAATTAAACAGAAGATTTGTATTGTAACTAAATACTCTATCATATATTTGATTGATTCATATCGAAAGACAAAGAAAACAAATTTAACAATGTTCTTTTAAAATAAATATTGAAAAAAAAATCATCATCAATCAATCAATAATAATGATGAATTGGTTGCATTTCTTTTCCTCTTTTTTTTTTTAATTTTATTTATAGAAGTTCATCAAATAAACAATGATGTTGTCGTTAGTCATGAACGCTCATTTATCGACATTTTTATTTAGTTAATAGAATAATACGAAGAAGATGATCGATGTTCTTCTTTGCAGACATATAAAAAAAACAAGTGTTCGACGACAGATTGATTGATAGTTAACAAGTGTTTGTTCTTTTCTTGTACAATTCACGTAGCCAACAAAATAGAAAAAAGTCAGAGATAACATACCATCCAGACGTATGCGATTTGTATACTCTCTATGGCTTCTTATTTAGCAATGCGAGAAAAAAAAAATAAGAAAGATAGCAACAAGAAAATGATGAACTCTTGTCCAGATTGAATAGATGTAAATTATTCATATGATAATTCTGTAGAGCATTAAAAAAGCGATATGAATTGAATATTAATGAAAAAAGAATATTGTCAATTTCTGTTTGATTTGCGACATCGAATAAAATAGTTCCAAAGTCTATTTTATACATTGTCATCTAGTTGTTGAACTAATACTCACAACACAATTAAGATAAGCATGTCGTTTTTGGCTTTCTTTTTTGCTTTCAATTGAAATGATCATAGAAAATAAAAAGTCTTACTATAATGCATTTATCGTATTCCTCTGTCTACTTAGTAACCCAGTTGTTGTTTTTTTTGTTACATAGATTCATGACTCATACGAAACTGGAATATATTTAATTAGATAGAGCGTTGTTTGTTCCTTAAGTATTTGATATGTTATTTGATGTGTCATTTGATGTTGCGTATTTTCTTTTGTGTATTCGTTAAAGAACAATGTTGTGTGTCTGTATGTATGTGCAGAACTTGAATCAACATCATCATGCTGCTTCAATGAATGATTATACGAGAAAAAAAAAGATTAATTATATATTTAATCTAACTGTTCTTCATAGAAAAACCTTTACAAAGTTGAGATATAAGAAATAAAATGTCAATATTAGAGGATAATTTACTTGCTAATAATAGAACGTTTTTTCTCACATTGTGAACATGTACATTAGTATGATATAAGCATACATGCACTTGATTAACCTCTGCTCACTATCGATTTGAGTCAAATGTTTGAACGAGTAAACATACTGATCCTATTTCTATAGAATATATCATTTTCTTTTTATTTGTAGAGCTTTCGCCATGTGCATGTTATTGAACTACATTATTCAGTATCTTTTGCCAGTGATCATTCTACATGTAACTTGAAAAGTTCGAGATAGTACTGTCAATCACAAAAAGAAGAAAAAAGCAGAAAGAATGTGCAAACATGTTTTTTCAATCCCAATGGAATCCGCAAAGACTAAACCATCGACACTCTTATTCCATCTATTTTTACATTTGTTGCGTTCGTGTCGATAACGGACCCTTGGCATCTTCTAGATATGATGATTTTTCTTCGCATCGTTACGATGAAGAGAGAGAGAGGAAAAATGAGTGTGTTTTTTCTTTTCTCTTCTGCCCAACTAGCGTACCATTGATTCTCTTCGCTGCATATTCCAAACAAGTTTGCACGCACCAATAATGCTGCTTTAACCGGACGCCTCGATTTCGTGATGCTATCATTCTCTCTATCTCTCTCTCTTTCTCTCTGCTTCTTTCTTCTATTTTCTAGCTTATGTAAAGAGAAGAAATAGAAGAATGTGATGGAGTCATTTTTCATATATCGTTATTCTACGTCGGTCATTTTATTTTAGATTTGCATTCATTTCTATATACATCTGCTATATACATCTACTATATACGATTAAAATCATAATGACTGCTCTTCGAGTTTTTCCATTTATTGGTGCACTTATTGCTATTGCTGCTGTTGTATTAGCAATTATTGGTGTATCAACTACCTATTGGGTTTCAACAGGACTTAATATACATTCTGGTAAGAGAAAAAAAATTTAATATTCGAAACCCGGAAAAAATAGAATTCGTTTTTTTTAAATGATTTTAGGCCTTTGGCAAAGCTGTACAGCTGGTATTTGTATACGAACTGATGGTGGACGAGCAGCTGCTTTCGCTCTTACTGTATGAACAAAAGTTGTTTTTTGTTATAACATTTTATTTGTTTTTATTGTTGTTTAGGCTCTCATCGCCATTGGTGTAGCTGCTCTTTTGGCTATTTTCAGTGGTTTAGCAAGAAATAAATCCGATGCAAGCAATAACATGGCTCGTCTTTGTGGTATTATATCTGTTATTTTACTTTTTTCAAGTGGTGTTCTTATTGCTGCATCACTTTATACATATATTGGTGCAAAATATGCTACTGGATATTCATTTACACTCATGGCTATTGCACAATTTTTGAGCTTTCTTGCCGCTATGCTTGTTGCTCACTGGATGGTAATTAGAAATCTTTACATTTAAATAAAGTTTTTTAAATATTATTTTTTTTTTATTTTAGGGACATTCATTTACTGTAATCAGTTAAATGACAAAAAAAAGAAAAGAAAAAGAAAACTTATATTTGTAAATTTCTATGCTATATCACACATTCATAGCTTATGAACTTTTCTTTTCTTTTTCTTTTTAAGTTGTTCTTGATCGAAAGAGCTACTTCGTTTGTTTTGATAA